CTCACTTACTGAGTGCAAGGTAACTTCTCTTTTATGTTGGTTCAAGATTAATATGGTTTCTGCTTATATCTCTAAAGCTGGGACTGGGTTTTCATGGAAGGCTTTCAGGTCGCTTGGTAGGTTTGTGAAGCTCTCCCTTACCTCTGCCTTAACGTTGTGGTAGGAAGGAATTATATTTGGGTTTAATTAGTATGTTTATGTGGTTTTTGAGTTTATTCATGTCAGCTTATTTGTGAACCAGCTTGGACTTGTGGTATACCACAGTGGTGATTATGATGGTTTGATGGCTGAAGCAACTGGGTACAATAGTTATTTTTCTCAATCTTTCATCACTTGACCTACAATTTTTCATCGTAAAATGGTTTTATTGAGTGTTTCGAATTATTTCAGAATTTAGTAAAAAGCCTTTCTTCATGAATGAATCGGAGAAAACAACACTGAGTTTATTTTTCTTGACAATATATGGGTTCGTTTCTTTTTTTTTTTAGATGCAAGATCACCTTATAGTTCTGCAGCAATCTGTAAGTGTCATGAAGTTTCGCTTTAGCTAATACAAACTTACATCTGCTTTACATATGCATTTTCCTGTTCATAGGGTGCATTCTGAAAACTATAGATACCAACAAGTAATTTTGTTCAATTGCAGTCATTGTTTCATCATGGATGATGTTGTTCTTTGTGTTATTGAGTTCATTTTTTTTACTTATTAAGATCTTTTTCCCCCCTTTTCTCTGTTTCTTCTTGCCCACAGTAAAGGAGCAGGCCTTAAAGAGGAGTTTGGGGAAGGAAGTTGCTTCCAGCTAAGGTGAAGTCACACTTTTTGTTTAATACTTTCAAATTTCAATTCCACTTTCTCCATCATATGATGGAATTAGGTAGCAGCAAGCTCTGGTGCATTTTCTATTGTCAATTCTCATCATGTTTCATGTCATGAGTAGGTTACTCTAATTTACACGTCCAGTAACATGCTTTTCATGTTATGAGGTGTTGTTGTTAAACTTGTGGTGATATCTTACACCACTCACACGAGAACTTTCACTCCTTTATTTTATTCCATCATAAATCATTTATGGTCTACGATGTTCATTGATGTTTTGGATTTTGTTTGCTATAAATCATAAATCATCGCTTTTCTTCGGACTGAAATGGAATCTAGGACTAAGTATACAACTAACAATAGCAGTATTGGGAAACCGTTCAGTTCCGGTTTATATTGTTTTCCTTTATATAGTTCGAGATGCTTCATTGTTTTTGTTTTCGGCTCGACATGCTTCGATTATCGGAACATGCTCTTCAGTTCAGGGTTGGATATTTATACTGGTAGTTGTGCCGTGTTCTTTTGCCTATCAGTTCTCTTTCTCTTCCTTTTCATGGATTAGTATATTTTCTTATGGTTTAGATCTCTCCTTTTGGTTTAGATTGTCTGTGTTGTACTTTGTTGATTTGCACAATGCATGTCTTATTACTGTTTACTTTCGTCTGCGTCTACTCAGATGCGTTGTACAGCAACCATGAAGTGTAGAAACGAATCCAAGAGATTATGGTGAAGGTCCACAGGGTCAATTATTCTTTCTTCGGACTAGGTTGAAACTGATGAACAACATAAGTTGCAAAGGTTTCCTCTCTTAATCTTTTACTGAAATACTATAAAGCTCTTACTTCCATTTTCTGTATTAGCTGTAATTGTAATCTTGAGGCCTGCTGGAATTTGTTCCATTTAGATTAAAATACTTGGTTATTAGCTGCTAGCATGCATGTATTTTATTTCAATTTTGTGCATATGTAGGTAAAAGATTTGTTACTCATACATCATAATTGCGACTGATCATAGTGAGAAAGAGCTATGAATTACGATAATTGCCAACTGGGGTGGGCTCTCTTATAAATTGCTTTCTATCAGCCTACAGATTGAATTACATATTTCTTGCTGTTGGATCCTGTTGTGTTTTGTATGAACTTCTTATTCTTATTCCTGGACCATGCTTAGGCTGCAATTTCATAGACACTCTCTTTTCTCATTAACACCTTCCATTGATAATGGGATGTCATGAGTTGATGCAATCATGCAATAATATAATTCAGGATTGAATTCGAGTTGAGTTACAAAGACACGAAATGAGGACATGGCGATGAAAATTTGTTTCACATTCATTTATGATTTGGTCTCTGACTGGAGTTTGTTTAGGCAAGGGGAAGGATGGTAGGCAATGAATTCATTATCTTCATTGATTTAGTCTCATGTCGGGTTTGCGTCGGCGACTATTACTCCAAAATATGGGTTTTCAGGCCCTGATTGTTCATCTTATTGAGACACAAAAGGTTCAGTTTGTTTGGATTTGTAAGTAGATTCGATTGGTGTTCTGAATGAATTCGATGGGTATTTCAAATAAATGTGCATATTAATGACCAAGCTTCCGAAGTTATATCCATTGTAGAGGTTAGGGTGAATACACAGGTTATTGAATTTCTCATATGTGAGCTCTGTATGGTATTTTTTTTACAGTATTTCATTCGCCCCAGAATGATGTTGACGAGGTAGATATCTGATATGCATCCATGAAAGTGTCCAGGGAAGGATCCTTTACCTGGCTAGAAATTTCAATCATTATCGTTGACAGGTCGGATCGTCTCCTTCAGTTGAGTGATTTACCTGTTGCTTCTTACTTGCTGTTTTTTGTAAACTGTAATTTCCTGATATGTTATACCTTATAACTGATGTCAACTGGAAAGCTTTGTATATGCTCTCCAATGCCTGATTTTGGTGCTTGGTCTGATTCTTAGGTTGTCACTTCGAGCTTAGTGAGATCAAGAACTATTAGGTAAACAATGGTGTATATTATGTTCCTGCTTTTCGTGTACTCTCATTTTATGTTGTATTTCTCTTCTCTCTATATCGTCAGCTGCTAAGCAGTTTCAATTACATTATCTGCAATTAATAAGCTAAATGTGCTCTTTTTGATCATAAGTCTTTGTGTAGTTGTTCCATTCAAACTTTCCAGAGTTCTTTTATGTGCTTCAATATGTTAGTGCTCTGTTGGTTATTTGTACAGATGATTTAAACTCTAGCAATACCAGGTTTGGAGTAGTCAACACAAGCAGTAAAAGGAGAAAGTAAGGCTCGTGTGTTTGTTTCGACCTTACAGTTTTGTATAGTATCTTAATTTCAACGTACAAGATATGTGAATGCTCTTTGATTGCATACCAGTGAGCCTCAACCCGAAATATTTATATCATCACATGTTTAAGTGTTTAACACTGCAACTAGAAAATAGTTTTAGAGGGATTGTTGGCTTACTGTACTTTTGTTTTCTATTTCTTAGTGCGTTACTAGGAAATACAAGTTCCTTAGGTTCGATTTGGCAATCCAGAGCTAAAACATTAACTGTACATTATTTTGCAATTCAGAATAAGATACTTGCCGTTAAATATGAACAGAACATCTTTGTAAGCTGACAGGCAAGTTGCTGGGTATTTTAGCTTAATTTGTCTGCCCCTTTTAATACGGATTTTTTGGTTACTTTGTTTGCCGGTATGGGTTCTCAATTTAGTGTTTCATTTTTTTTGTACCAATAGGTGACGATCTGTAACTATTGTTAATACAATGAAAGCTAAACATTGCGCCCTTGGAAGAACACTGCTGGTTTCGATGGGAACTTGACTTTGTCAGATTGAAAGCAACAAGTAAGTGATGAGCTTCATTTTCTTTGTTCAGTTTCTTCTCTTCTTACTCATAATAGTTTCTTTTAGTTACCCACATCATTCAATCATAATATATGAGAAGCCATGTTGCAGTGGCCTCACTTTGAATAGTCTTTCACAAATAACTATTGGAGAAGCACACACAACGTAATTGCATGACCATGCGACATAAAGTAATTAAACATTACCTACAAAGGAGAGGAGAGAAGATCCTTTCGGTGCATTAGTGCGCCACAGTGCTTAACTTTAATCATTGTAAATATCAGCTACCGAAGGTTGATGTTGTATAGATTAAAATTATTCCTTAATTGTGCTGGTTAGCTCAGTAACAATTTCCTGTTTGAAAATACGTTTCCCTCTTGGTACAATATGAGGTTAGTTAGGATAGTAATCAAGCTTGAATTCATGCAAGTATTGCCAATTCTTCCTAATTTTGCTTTATTTATCTGCCATTTGATATTCTTTGCATGGAAATTTTGTATTCTGTTGTCAAATTTTCACTTCAGAATGCCAGTTCTCGCTGTTGGGGTTCTAGGTTCTGCTGTGTTATAGTTAGTTTTTTTTAGTTTATAACTATTATATAGTTTATAGTTCCAAGTACAGTGAGGCATATTCATTATTCGTTGGTATCATCTGAGCTGGTTTTAGATCAATTGCTTCTGAGTTGAAAGAGTTTTGGACCTTCAAACTTATAATGTTTATTTATATGCTTTGTGACTCAGTTTTTTGTGTTGTGTGATAGCATTATGTTGCTTATTGACTGGTCTGAATTTAGGTAATTCACTAATTAGTTTGGAGTTTAAGAATTCGGATTAGCAATTGTTTTTCCTAGCTTCGGGAAATTACTTGAACGCAGTCTTTGATGTTGAAAATAGCTTTTATAAATATGCCAATCTCGAATACAATTAACCGTTCTAGAAAAAGAAGACATACTAGGATTAAACAAAGTAAGCTTGTATTCATACCAGAATTTGTTAACTTACAGGTAGTTGTTTCTGCTCTTACTTTTACTGCATTATGGCTTAATTAACCAAAGTAGGGTTGTGAGTTTGCTTTAATAATGACAAAGTGCATTGCTTATTTAGGATGGAATTTACAAAACTATGCAAATATAGTTGTTTATAGGAATTGCAATTTGGACGTAAAAACACCAATAGAACAATGTAAGACCCAGGGAACAAAGAGAATAGAAAATGGTCTCCGAAGATTAGTAATGTTAGGTTGAGAGGAAGCCATTTGTAGGGATCATTTACCATCCAAGTGAGACAAATTTCCTTGCAAATAATCTTCTGAAATTTTAGCACAATTTTAGCACAATTCCGGTGTCCCAACAAGCCTGCATAGGAGGGACTTGCGATGTTCGAGGCAGGTGAGACTCATTAGCTTAAACCACTCAGCTCTGTAGCTTACAGTTGTTTATTTCTCTATGTTTGAGTTATTGGTAATTGCTGGTTAGGAAATTTGTTTTGGGTTTGGACCTTTGGTTTGGATTTATTTCCCTCTTGCTTAAACACTTAGAAACCAAGTGGTTTTTTTCTTTTTGGGAAATTTGGATTTGAGTTTTCTTGCTTTGTCTACTTTCTTTACTCAGTTGTTATTCAATCTTTGTTTTTCCTCTCTCTGCACTCTCAACCATTAGTGTGTTTTAATTTCTTGCTTTGGCAAATCTTTGTTTCTTATTGCTAAGTTTAAATTTATTGCTTCGTGACTGTGAGTCAGTGACCACAAGTCAACATGGCGCAGGAGAATCACAGCAGGAAAGCACTTCCAGCCACTACCGTTTTGTCTCAGTTTCCAGAAGAGTTTCCTTTTTAGATTTTAATTTCCTTCATTCTCACTGGTAATTTGGGGTTATGTTACAAGGTTAGCGTTTATTTACTTCTCATGAATTCTGGAGTTTGTATATAATGGCCTTCAGAAGTTGTAAATGTTGATGCCATAAGCGAGGTGCTAAGATTGTGAAATGCTTTACCAGTTCCCTTTATGCTCACTGTTTGTTGTCATCAAATCACATTCTTACAATTAACTATATAATCCCATATTTTTCATCTGTTGCAGTTATCAGGGAAATTTCCATACTGCTTGATAACGAGGGAACTTATACCTTCAATTTTCCCATTGCAGCAAACTTTATGTCTTTGTGAGTGTCAGCTTTTGGATCGAAATGCTTCATTGGTTCAATGTTCCTGCCTCTTTATTAGTTAGGTCGTACATTCATGATCAAGTAGTTAAGAGTTACACTTGCATGGAGGGGTCCCTGCAAATGGTTGGGATATGAATTTGTACTTTTATATGTTGCTTAAGAGGGGTTCCTTTCCACATTCCTCAGAGGTCTAGATGGCTGTATGTATTTGATTGATGTCTTTATATATGAAGTTTGTGGGGGTTAATTGCATGATTGGTCACTGAGATTATGAAAAACGTTCATGTTTGATCACTCGAAATATTTAAATCCATTCATAGTCACTAGATTTAGTAAAACAATTCAAGTTTGGTCACTCTCCGTCAAACTCCGTTAACTTTGGCTGATGTGGCAGTCAACTCTCATAGTTGACCGTTAAATATGTGACGTGGCAATTAAAAAATTATAAAAAAATTATATTTAATCATTTTACAATTTCCACCTCATTTTTACAACTATTAAAAAAACCCCTAATTTTTATCCCCTCTGGCAAACATCCTCCTCGCATACCTTATCCAACCAAAACAAGAAATTGACCAGGGATCTCACATATAGATCACAAATGAAAATTACAGTTCTTGTGACCAATAACTTCATAAAATTGATTTCAATCCCTTTACTTAGATTCTAATTCTCGAGCATACTTCTCATCGGGACGTCGACGGCTTCGTCACGCGAATGCTTCCATGACCGCCTACTATCACGTTTGCCGCCCATGCTAGTAGTCCCGCCATGGCCTCCGCCTCTCGACGTCGACTCTGCTTTGCGATGAACTACTATCGTCGCACCTGCTGATGCTGGTGGTGGAGCCAAAATGGCAGCCTCCTTTCCGGGGAAGAAAAAGCAGAGGAAGATTGGGGTTTCAAAGTGACAGTGTAATGCACTTGGGGACTATCAAACTAGCTCGAGCTAGGGTTAGCGGAAGATGAAGACGACGGCACAGAATGGGGAAATGCGCGCGGAGCAAGGGATCTCCTGCATTTTCTATTTATACCAAAACCCTGAAGTGTGTTCTTGACGAAACAGTGAAAACGGAAATACAAAACAGAAATATGAAAATGGTAAATCGTAAAACGACACGTGTTTGCTTCTCATTCGCTACGGTGAATCCACCCAACGGTAAACTCTTGGAGCTCCACTGCGACGTCGCTTTGCTCCTTCATTTAGTCGTTGAGTGGAGGGAACCCAGAAACGTTTCGTTTCTGGGTAAGGTTTTCTTCTTCCTCGACTCTGCTCTTCTTCTTCATTTCAGCAGAGCTTCTTCTTCTTCTTCATACTCGCTTGATACTCCCCCACAAGCTGGCGAGTAGGCATTGCATACACCCAGCTTGTCTAACAGAAACTTGAGTCTATAGCGAGTCATCCCTTTTGTAAATAAATCTGCAACTTGGTCATCAGTTCTCACATGGAACAACTTAATCAAACCTGATTTCAATCTCTCCCTCGTAACATGACAATCAATCTCAATGTGCTTTGTTCTCTCATGAAAAACCGGATTCTCAGCAATATGCATAGCAGATTTGTTGTCACAAAACAAAGGTATTGGTAGAGGTACCTTAATCCCCATCTCTGTCAGAAGATTTCTCAACCATTGAACCTCGCAAACCACTTGAGCAAGAGCTCTGTACTCTGCTTCTGAGGATGACCTGGAGACTGTGGTCTGTTTCTTTGTCTTCCAAGTGATTAGTGAAGTTCCTAGAAAGGTGCAGTAACCAGTGAGAGATCTTCTGGAATCAGGGCAGCTTGCCCAGTCTGCATCACAAAACCCTGAGAGTTCCAGTTTGGAATCTGCCCTGAACAGCAAGCCTTGTCCAATGGTGTGTTTCAAATACCTTATTACCCTGTGTGCTGCTTGAAGATGCTCCACACATGGAGCAGTCTGGAACTGTGCAAGCTGTTGCACAGCATATGCCACATCTGGCTTGGTTATGGTAAGATAATGCAGTCTCCCTATCAGTCTTCTATAGACACTAGGGTCTGCCATCAATTCTCCTTGATTAGCTGATAACTTAACATTGCAATCAACAGGAGACAAACAGCCTTTTGCTTCTACAAAACCTGTATCATCAAGTAGTTCTAAGCAATATTTTCTTTGACTTACTGAGATGCCTTTGTGATCTCTGATTACTTCCAGTCCCAGAAAATAGCTCATCTGACCAAGGTCTTTAACCTTGAATTCCTTACTCAGGAATAGTTTCAACTGTTCTATGTCTCCCAGATAACTCCCAGCAATCAAGATATCATCTACATACACAAGAACCACAACAACTCTTCCCTGAATCCATCTCACAAACATTGAATAGTCAGAAGCTGTTTGAGAGTAACCATTCTTCAACAAGGCACTGGTAAGCTTTGCAAACCACTGTCTGCTGGCTTGTTTTAAGCCATAAAGTGATTTCTTCAACTTGAACACTAGGCCTGAACCCTTAGGTACATCAACACCAGGAGGAACCTCTAAGTAAACTTCCTCATCCAAGTCTCCATGGAGGAAGGCATTGGACACATCCATCTGGTGGATGTGCCAATCCTTAGATGCTGCAACTGCCAAGAGGGTTTTAACAGAATTAATTTTGGCCACTGGTGAATAAGTATCTAAGAAGTCTATCCCATATATTTGGGTATAGCCTTTAGCCACTAGACGTGCCTTGAACCTCTCTATTGTTCCATCTGCCCTGTACTTCACCTTGAATACCCATTTAGCACCAATTGGCCTTTTTCCTGGAGGCAGCTTTACCAATTCCCATGTCTGATTCTCATACAATGCATAAATCTCTTCCTTGCAAGCTTGATCCCAACGTGGGTCTTTGCAAGCCTCAGCATAGGAAGTAGGCTCTTGTATAGATAAGACATTCAAAGCAAAAGCTTTCTGAGCTGCATTAAGATGATCATAGCCAACCTGATGTGAAATGTGATGTTTAGATGTGGAAGCAGACATAGAGACATGATAATCTTTATGCCAAACAGGTTTTGTATGAACCCTTTTTGACTTTCTTAGGTATTCATCTTCATCAGAATCATGAAGCTCAGGAAACACCTCAATTTCACTATCCTCCCCCTCAGACTGCAAACTGACAGAAGATGAGTCATTAGGGACACCAAGCAGTGCAGGAGAAGGAAGAGAAGAAGAAGAGGAAGGTGAACTGGTAAAGTTGGCAGGCTGAGAAGTAGTAGGAGGTGTGACAGAAGGAATAACAGGAGGCTGTGAAGATGATGGAATAGGAGGAAATGTAGGAAATATGGGGTCTGATGGTAAGAACTCAGTAGAATCAGTGATAGAAGAAGTGGAGGAAAAGGAGTGGAAAGGGAGAATGGATTCATAAAACCTCACATCTCTGGAAACAAGGAAAGAGTGTGAGTTGATGTCAAAAAGTTTGAATCCTTTAATACCTGCTGGAAAACCAAGAAAAATGCACTGCCTGGCCCTAGAATCAAACTTGGTTCTGTCTCGATGCAGTGTTGCAGCATAGCATAATGACCCAAAAACTTTCAGATGACTTAGGTTAGGAGCTTTATTGTATAAAAGTTCATAAGGGGATTTGTTGTCCACAACAGAACTAGGCAACCTGTTAATCAAGTAAACAGCATGGAGGATACAATCACTCCAAAACCTAAGAGGAACTCCTGATTGGAATTTAAGTGACCTGGCCACATTCAAAATATGTTGATGCTTGCGTTCCACGCGAGCATTTTGTTCTGGTGTCTCCACACAAGACTGCTGATGCTCAATTCCATGACTACTATAAAAGTCCACCATGTGGAATTCAGCACCCTGATCACTTCTAACAATCTTAACAGTCTTAGAAAACTGTCTCTCAACCATAGAACAGAAGGATTGCAACAAGGAACTAGCCTCAGATTTAGACTTCATAAGGAAAACCCACACAGCTCTTGTAAAGTCATCCACAACAGTCAAAAAGTATGAATAGCCTTCATGAGACTTAACAGCCAAAGGACCCCAGATGTCCACATGAATCAAATAAAAAGCATCCTGTGCTCTACTTGTACTGACAGGAAATGAAAGCCTCTTGTGTTTGGCAAAATGACAGGTTTGACAATGGGAAACTAACTCTCTATTACAAGGTATAGTTTGTTTCTCTTTGTCTTTGCTGGGGTGGCCTAGTCTCCAGTGCCAGAGGTGAATGTTTTGAGGTTGAAAGTTGTATGTAAGTGCAGCTTGTGGTGTGTTCAGAATAGGTGTTTTGGTCTTGGTGTCCAGTTGGTACAACCCTCTACTCTGTCTTGCCAAACCAGTCCTTCTCTGAGTCATCAGGTCCTGGATTTGACAAGAATCAGACTCAAAAAGTAAGGATATAGGCTGGTCATGAGTCAATTTACTAACTGATAGTAGATTGAAAGTAAAACTTGGCACATGGAGCACATTGTCTAAGGCTAGATCAGGAGAAATCTGAACTTTTCCTATGTGACTAACTGGTACTTTAGTTCCATTAGGTAAGTAGACAAACTGATCCTTAACTGGCAAAGCTTCAGCAAACAGATCAAGATTACAGGCAATGTGATCTGATGCCCCAGTATCCAGTATCCAAGAGTGAGCCAGTGAATTTGCTTTATGATTCATATAAGAAGATAAGATGAACTTACCAGCATGATTAGGGAACTGAGAGATGCTGTGAGCAACTGAGAAAGCCAAGTGGTTGTTAACAGAAGGTGAAGCTGGAGGTGAAGGACTAGGGGAAGGAACAGA